GTGCACTCCATCCCCTCGTCTGGATCATCAATAAAGATGTTAAACAGGATTGGCCCCAACACCGAGCCCTGGGGGACACCACTCGTGACCGGCTGCCAACAGGATTTAACTCCGTTCACCACAACTCTTTGGGCCCGGCCATCCAGACAGTTTTTTCCCCAGCAAAGCGTGTGCTCATCCAAGCTGCAAGCAGACAGTTTTTCAGGAAAATGCTGTGGGAAACAGTGTCAAAGGCCTTACTGAAGTCAAGGTAAACAAAATCCACAGCCTTTCCTCATCCCATAAGCAGGTCACCCTGTTGTAGAAGAAGATCAGGTTTGTTAGGCACGACCTGTCTTTCATAACCCCATGCTGACTAGTCCTGATCCCCTGGTTGTCCATTATATGACTTTTCATGGCATTCTTGATGACCTGCTCCGTGACCTTCCCTGGCACTGAGGTCAGACTGACAGGTCTATAGTTTCCTGGATCCTCCTTTCTGCCTCTCTTGTAGATGGGTGTCACATTTGCCACCCTCCAGTCCAATGGGACCTCCCCAGTTAGCCATGATTTCCAATAAATCATGGAAAGTAGCTTGGCGAGCGCATCTGGCAACTCTTTCAGCACCCCTGAGTGTAACCCATCAGGTCCCACAGACTTGTGTGCATCCACTGTGAGACCAATCTCATTATAGACAAAATTCAGGTATATTTAAATTTTAACTTAGATCAAAATTAGCACTACTCACATATTTAATCTTAAGATTTTTCATCCTTTGAGGTACAACTCCTCTTGCACTGTCTCACCAGTTTACGTAATTTCTTTCATCTACAGCTTTCATATTGTAAAAAAATACATCATCATTGCCCGAAACATTAAGACAATGATTGGCAAATATTAGTTATAGATTTAGAATTATAGATTTTTTTTCAAAATACTTAAGCATTCTGCAGATACGAATCTACACCATTACACACAGGAACTATAGCACACTAAGACCGTACAGTGCTTCTGAAGCATGAAAATCATCAGCTGTAGAGTGCAGAGTTTAACATCACACTGAGAGAACTAGAGTCTACCCAAGATTTCTTCAACTTTAACCTATAGGTGCATCTGATGCCAAAATGTATTTGCTAGGGAGTAACCAACTATACTGGCATTTGGTATTTACAAAATAGTCTAACCTAATTAACACGCTTCTCAACTATAGAAAACAGTATCAGAGCTTGAACTAAAGTGTGACATAATTTTTGTTAAAGATCAGAGTTTCTCGCAGCTTTCACATGAAATGTACTACAAAAATGATGATTCACATTACTGACGTGGACTTCAGCATATTTGACTGGACAGTTAGTTTCTCTCAGCTCTTGTCATGTGTGAAAGAATTAATTCCAATTTGAGGGAGAATCTGCACTGTTACTACCATTTACACATCTATATGGTTTTAACATTTATTTTGTAAATTTCTGAATTTAATGGGACACAATTATGTGACTTTTAACTGTCCTTAAAGGTTGTTGCTGTTGCAAAAAAGCCTGAAAGCGGTAAAATTTAACCTTAGGATGGAAAGCCAGTAACTTGACATTCTGATTACAGACCTGATGGAAAGTAAACTATCTCCATATGCTGACACCATGAGGAGAACTAGCAAAGGCAACTTCAAGCACAAAATTAACCACAACATCTGAAAATGTATCTGACACTATACTATTTTATTTACTTTCTGGTGTACTTAATGCAGAATCCTGTAATCTCTCATAACTGAAAACTCTCACCATGTTTTCCAGTTATGTCAAAAATATAACTTATTGAGGAATGCTTTCTTTCATCACAGATATGTACTGTACCACTGTACCACAGTATTCTCTGAGAGCTGAGTTCCAGGACATGAATTACAATTTCCTATTTAAAGGCAGAAGTATTTCCACTTCACTAAGAGGGCCTTCCACTAAGAGATTTTTAATCAGTATGATTAACAAGGAACCTAAAGGCCACATCAGATCGAGGGAAAGTACTGCATTATAAAAACAAAGGCCCTAAATTGTAAATTTCAGAAAACTGCGATAAGCTGGCTAAGGAGTTCAGAATCTCCTCTTGTCTTATTATCCCTAGTATTGATTGAAGTCTCTCCACCTTGAAATTGTCAGTGAGGACAAATCTATTGAGTCTCATTAAATTCAGCACTGGAATGAAGTCCCTGGAGCATTCAGGACCACTAAAACAGATGCTATACATTTTAGAAAAATACTCCCTATCCTTGAGAATGAGAAGTACAGCTGCAATATGAAATAGGTATCAATTTGTTTCCATAAATGGTCTAACATAAAGGAGTTATTGTAGAACACAGCACCCTCAAAATTTTTACTTAAAAAGGAGGTAGTAATATGTCAAGTCAACACAACTTTGCAAAACAGATTACAGGTCTTCACAAGTGTATGCTGCCCACTACAGCTAGATCTGGAAGAGAATTTGTGGTCCTCAATGGATTTACACAGAATCCAGTGCAAGTTCACGACCTTCATGTGGTTTATCAGAAATGTTTTTTCTTGTTCAGTCTACTGTTTTGTACTATGCTAACATCAGCACAAAGAATGGTTCTTTCTAAGTGGTAGACTATTAAGATGAACTTGGGATATGTGAGCCACCACACTGCCTGAGCTATAGCATATACTGCCTATCTGACCACTAACAGATAGGTCATTGATCTTTCTGTGAGGGACAATATATCATAGGATGTACACAGTGATAGGCTCAATGCCATTTGGAGCAGTAGGAAAATATTCCTTTGTGAATATGTTTATGGAATAGCTGACACATCCTTATCTAGCTGTTGCAGCCTGCATGTTATTAATGCATGGAAGACAAACAGAAAACACATTTGTCTACAATAGTTTGCCTTTCTCATTCAAGGGAAAAATAGGCATTTATACTGTTTTTATAGATGCTGAGTATTCCAAAGGCCTGCTGTGACTTCAGTAGGACTGATATCTTGTGATTTGGAAAACACATGTTATTGTGAAGCAATTAGAGTTGGGTATTTTATACAGTTTTTTTGATCAGAAGTACAGAACAGAATTCTCATGATAAAAGAAACTCCTTTTCCTCTCCGAAGTTCTCTCAACTCAATTTGCCAGAAATACTATTAGATCTATTCCACTCTAACTCAGGAAACATAACTTTTTTTCATACTTTAACACATTTTTATGAAAACAGAAAAGAACATCTTTGTTCCAGGTGCATTAGATGTTTTGATATTTTACAAGAAGACAGCTTATCAGTTCTACAATAGTAATTTGTCAGAATATTTGAGTTTGCTTGTGCTGATTTAAGAGGCAAACTCCTTCATGTTGGAAAAATCCTGAAGTCAGTGACTCCAAACCAGCAAATTTTAGGGTCATCTTGTCGTTAGATTTGGCAGCTATCAAAAGACTCATCTTGTTGTATGATCAGCTAAGCAGAAGTCTTAAGTCTTGCTAAGACAGACCAAGAACTGTGAACCATCTTTCTGAAGCAACCCTGAATTTTGAGTCAAGCCTAGTTTAGAAGTGGCTTGCCCCTATAGCTATATAAGTAGACCCATCAATTTTGCATAATACATAAGTAACTTATAATGGCAAAACTATTTTCATAGGATAGGTTAAACTCTTTCCAAAACTGAAGTAAGTACTACTGGTAATATTTCTATGATGCAAGGTAAAGTGACCTTTATAGAGTTTTGTCATGCTTTCATGAAAACTTAGTTTTATTTTCTTTTATTTGCTGTAGAGCTAGTCTGAAAGAAAGTGGTCTTATAAACACCAATGAAGAGAGTTCATATTATCTTCACTTGTACCAATTTTTCTGGTGCACTGGAGAATGAAGAATGAAAGAAAGAGCAACTTCTGATACCTACATAATGTATTAACAAAAAAAATCTATAATTTACTTTGTCTTGCGCCAGATAGGTAGAACTCCCACTGAATTGTACATGTTCTTAACAGCTGTGATGGAAGTCTACCTGTAGCATGGCTGGGCTATTATTGTAGTGAATGAAAGACTTAATGTTTATTTTCACTACAGTCAGTGATGTGAGTCCTCAAGAATGTGCTGGGCACTGTGTGCTATAAAATGTTAACCAAACACATCTTCAGAAACACAGTACTGGTTCTGGCTTGACTTAGGCCTAGCTTCACAATTTTATCACAAACATGTACTCTAAGTAAGATGATAAAGGGAAACACCTGTTTTTTGAAAAAGCACTGTGACAGAATACAATTTGAGAACACAGTTCCAAGATTGGTAGAAGGTACACAAAAGTTGTATATATAACTTCTCCTGATCTTCCTTCTCAATGCTTCTGAAAAGGAAGGAAATATATCTTCTGTATTTCTTACAGACTGAAAAACACATCCATATAATCTGTTACACTCAAAACGAGAAGTTCTGAGCAGTGCATGTGACAGCTCTTCATGGTTAGCACTTTTCCTGGCATTCATCAAAAATAAGTCTGTTCTGTAAAAGTAAATACGGTTAAAAATTTTTGCATTAGTTATCCATTTAAAAAGCTATTATGTCACAATTTTTCCAGTTAATTTTGATAGAGCAGGTTTTGGCAACCAGTAAAATTCTGAGATTCACACAAATACATTATTTACAAGTGAAAGGAATTTCTTCTAAATTATCAAAAACAAATTGAAGAACTTAATAATTGAAAGTTCTAGGAGAGGAAGAAGAAGAAAAACATAGATAACAAAATTACATAAAGAAATTTATATGCTTCGCAATTCACTCCTATATTTCTTCAGAGGTAACTAAATCTCATTTTTTAAGGCTCATTAATTCAATGTAAGCAAGGAGCCATATATGCTGGGATGTAATCAGACCAATATACTCTGTTACACTGCCAACCATATTTTGGTAACAATAAAGATCCAGAGATCTAAAGGATGAAACAACACACAGTGCTTTGATTACTTTGTCCATTGATATTGTACAGATGGATATTAAAATGAACCCTATGATCATGAAGCAAAATTACATACTCTTTGATATGAAGTTGTTTCAGTTGTGTGAGCATCTTCTTGGTCTTTCAGCACTTTTTGTGTATTGGTATTGAGAGCCTGAAGCTGCTTTATCAGCTCAGCCTGCTGTTCTGTATGTTCAATGTTTTGTCTGTAAAGATTCCCCAGCTCCTGTAACTCCTTCCTGTGCAAAACAAGCAATAAAGAGAAATTAAGGAAAAGAACAACAATGACCTCCGTTAAACAACTGTGTTCAAATAATTTCCTTGTAGATAATGAGCTTCCTATTTTCATTTATTTTTCTGTCAATTGCCTTATAAACAGTAGAAGTTACATATAAAATATTTATCACATACTTTTGTGAAATATCTACAAAACAGTTAAGTATCAAAGTGGAATGCCTTTCAATTTCCCTCTAATGCTCTAACTGCTCTAAAATAAATGGATTTTCACTACTGCATCAATACTTTCTAATCAATATTCAGTTAACTCTTTAGCAGTAAGTGTTAAAATGTAACATATTTAGAACACATGGACTGTAAAGTAAGCTTAATTTTTTTTTAACTAGAACCAACAAAAGAAGATAAAAGCTTTTCTTAACTTGCAGAATATGTGTAAAGCAAGTCTCTTTTCTGAAATGCATCTACTGCCTGGAAACATAAAATATGTCTGCTGATAAATTACTTTTTTTCTGCAAGTACAGCATACTGCAACAACCTTAAGACAAGTAAGTAAACTTTGGTGTCTATTACATAAGAATAAAAGCTCTATAAATACAATAATAGGAATTGTGTTGTAATGCAATCACAGGACAGATCTAGTATAATCAGTCTACTGGAGAATTTTACTGTATTACTGATATATCTTATAAATTAAGGCAGAAAGGAAGATCAGTAACTTATTACAAACAATGATTAAAAACTTGGAATATCTTCTATAATACACATTAAATATTCAGGTGACTCCATTAATCCTTTTTTATGTATTTTTATTTAATTTCTTGTTTAATTCATTTAATTCACAAGCACATTTCACACTAGTATTACATAGATATACTGAAATATTAATTTATCATTCCAACTAATTTTGTCCTTTACTTCCTCAAAGAATTTTCTCAGTGACCTCCAACACATATATGATTTCTCTGTCCCTAGAATTACCATTAACAACAACAGTTATCATTACATTTTTATAATACAGCTGGAGATGTCCAGGTAATGATTAGCATATGAAAGGTAAGGAGCAATACCAACTGTGTGGTGTTTTCCCGAGAAACTGCAGAAAGACAAAGAAACCATTTTAAGGGAACTTTCCAAAAAACATTTCTTACACCCTGTGCCACTATTTAATATGTTGATTATTCACTAAAGATACAACATCTGAATAAGTATATAAAAATTAAAATTACATGTACAACAATAGCACAGTTAGACAATTTTATATTGTAAAAAAAAAGCACTGTTTAAAAAAACCCTGCTTAAAAAAAGCCTGTTAATAGACAAATACAGGAAAACATTTAAGGACATGCTTACTTAACAGTATTTAAGTCCTCAATGTTCTCAACGAGATATAAAGTAGCTCCTCAAATTAAGAAAGGTAGAGGGTGCATTAAGGACTCTTTAGGCAACAAAATCCAAGTACCACATCAGTATGTATTTCGTATGTACTAATTCAATTCTGTTCACAAGCACAGCAGCAGAAATAAGGACACAATGATATGTTAGCACTTTCTGACACACTGCAGAACAGATTTCCAAACAAGCACTTCTTTCATTTGCCTGCCCGTGGCTATACAGTAGAACATGACACAACTTTGCACTGCAGTTAAAATACAGATTATATTAATTTTGCACAGGTTCTCCAATCAGATCTTCATTTTGTTGCAGAAGGGAAAAACATGGGGTAACGTTGAATCCTCAGATACTGCTGGAAATGTTGGTAGTAACTGTTGGCAAGACCACTCTGCTATATTGCTGTTCTTTAATTTGTATGCAAACTTCACTGCAGTTATCTGTGTCTGCCACTTGAGAATGCACAATATTATGTGTTCTCTAATGGTCTGCCCACAAAGTGTATTAAGGTCAATGGGATTCTTTTGCTGACTTTAAGGATTTGAGTCATACCCTAAAGGAGAGAACACGGCGGGGAGAAACTAAATCTTGCAGCTACCCAACAACTTCATGCACACTCAAAACACATTAATGTTTGCTCACGTTAGATTCAAGGATTTTTAAATATAAGGAAACTCAGTCACAGTTCTGTTATACCACATTTTAAAAATCAAACGTTATTTCTTTACACACATCCTAACTTGATTTACTTTCTTTTTCTCGGTAAAAAGTTATACAAACTAAAACAGTTGTGATCTGAAAAATTCTTGAGACACAGAAATACACAAACACTGTATTTAACTTGCAGTTGTACTTTACAGCTGCTTTTATCATGTTTAGTGAACGAGGTACTATTTTTACATTGTAAATCCAAATGGGGAACCTTCTTTTATTTAACTCTTACACAAGAAGGAGGCAATTATGCTCAATATTATCAGGAATTATTCAGCAACAATGGTGCAATACAAATAAATGCACAGAATGAAGCACCTTTGATAACAGACAGGCCAGTTTGGTGAGGGGAGCTTTAAACTAGGAATGGTGGGGAGAAATGTTGTCCAAGTAACAAGTAAGGGAGCTGTGGCCTGGGCTGGCAAGCAAAGAGCGCTGGTTGGTGTGGACAGGAAAGACCTTGTGATGACCAATACAAGGCTCAGGGAGGACCACCTCAAGCATATGCACATAAGTAAGGGAGTGCTGACAGGACATCAGTATGTGAGAGGCTCTCAGGAGTCTTCCTGGGAAATAAACACAACTGGGTGTCCATCTAAACTTATTGTTTAATTGCACATAGCACACCCCCATGGACAGTGACAGGAGGAATTAGAGATCTGTCTGCAGTTGCAAGGCTCATCAGGATCATGGAGACAAGGTGGGATAACTGACATGACTGGAGTACTGACGCATATGGATACAGGTTCTTCAGGAAGGACACGCTGGGATGGCAAGAAGCTACCCTTTATGTGAAAGAGTAGCATAAATGGATGGAGCTCTGCCTTAAGATGGGCAGTAAGCCAGCTGAGAATGTGTGGGTCAGGTGTGGGCAAACTAATGCGGATGACATGGTGGCTGCATGCTGATCCTTTCTGATCAAGAAGAAGAATGAAGCTTTTTCAGAAAACTGGAAGAAGATTCATGTTTACCTGCCCCTGTCTTCATGGGGGACTTGAATCACTCAAGTATATGCCGGAAGGACAACATAGAGGGTACAAGCAATCCAGGTTTCTGGAGTCCCTTGATGATAACTTCTTACCATGGGCAACAAGAGGCTTCTGTAAGTATATCAGCAGCAAAATGAAGACAAGGGATAAAGTGCGCTCAGGGCTCACTAATGAAAACAGCAGAGGCTGCGGTAGCAAAGAACGTAAAAAAGGCCAAAGCACTCAATACCTTCCTCAGCTCTGTCTTTAAAGGTAACACTTGCCTCCAGCAATCCCATGTACCTGTGACTCATCTCAGTAGCGAAGGATCAGATCGGGGAACATTAACACAAACTGGACATACGCATGTCCATAATGCACCTACGAGTGCTGAGAGAGACTTAATAAGCCTTGAAAGGTCATGGCTATCAGGTGAGGTTCCTGAGGACTGGAAGAAATCACGTCACTCCTATGTTCAAGAAGAGAGATCTGGGAAACTAGAGCAGTCAGTCTCACCTCAATCCCTAAGAAGGTGATAGACCATATAAAGGACAAGAAGATCATTGGGAGTAGTCATCATGAATTTATAAAGGTGAAATGATGCTTAACTGACTTGACAGCCTTCTCTGATGAAACGAGTATCTCAACGGATGAGAGGAAAGCAGTGGATATCATTTATCTTGACTGTAGTAAGGCTTTTGACACTGTCTCTCATAAAATGTTAATAGATGGACTGATGAGGTAGAGGCTAAAGTAGAGAGTAAGGTGGACTTGAATCTGGCTGAACTATTGGGCTTAAAGAGTTGTGATCAGCAGCACAAGTACAGATGAAGACCAGGCACTGGAGGAGTATCCTATGGGCTAACACTGAGGCCAATGCTTTTAAAAATTTATTTATAATTAATGACCTGGACCATGGGACAGAGTGCACCACGGCAAGTTTGCCAGAGACACAAAACTGGAGGCAGTGCTTGTTTCACCAGATATTGAGGTCTTTCAGTATAAAAAAACTGAACAAATCAGCTGACAGGAACCTCACTGGGTTCACCAAAAGGAAGTGCCCCTGGGGAGTAATAACCCCACCAGTACAAGACTAGCACAGGCTGAGAGCTGACTGGCTGGAAAATAGCTTGTAAGAAAATGATCTGGGGATCCTGGTGGACACTGTCTTGACCGTGAGATGGTAATGAGTTAGTTCTGAAGCAACAGGAGCAAATGGAGGCTCCAAAAGAGGAAGGCAATCCCTCAACCTCTTGCTGCCAAGCAGAAGGACGAGACTTGAGGGATGAGAGAGGCTGGTAACAGGTCCCTGCTCACAGAGGCAGGAAAATCTTTTCCGGACCTCTCTCACCCTCCATGGCATCCCATCACAACAGATATGAAACTTCTGAAAGAAGTAGAGAAGGATGAAGAATATGAGTCAAACAAGGAGGAAGACCCAAGGTCCACCAAGGCCAGGTTGCTCTAGACCAGGTACTAAAACCAGTTTCAAAAAAAACCCTATAAGGGTCATTGTACTGGGTGACTCCATTCTGAGGGGTGTTGAAGGACCAATATGTAGAACAGACCTGATTCACAGGGAAGTCTGCTGCCTCCCTGGGGCTCAGGTGAAGGACCTCATGGAAAAATTCCCCACTCTAGTGAGACCCAAGGACTACTACCCTGTCTTGGTTTTTCAGGTAGGTTACTACAAGAAGTCCTAAAGCAATGAAGAGATATTTCAGGGCCTTGGGGCAACGGGTTAAGGGGTCAGCAGAGAACGACTCCCCCCACAATCCAGGAGGAGAGTCAGTGACCTGCTGCATCACACAGACACACACCAGTCTATGGGCACAGACGGGATACACCCGAGGGTGCTGAAGGAGCTGGCTGGGGTGCTCGCCAAGCTGCTTTCCATCATTTACCAGCAGTCCTGGCTGACTGGGGAGGTCCCG